AGGTTCTGAATACTTATGTAAATAAGGTATCTGTTTTTTATATTTAATACATTTGCAGAAAATTCTAAAAACCTGTTTTCACTTTGTCATTATGGGGTATTGTGTGTAGATTGATTTTTTAAATGTTTTATCCATTTTGGAATAAGGCTGTAATGTAACAAAATGTGGAAAAACTGAAGGGGTCTGAATACTTTCTGAATGCACTGTACATCCTTGCAGTTGCATGAGGTAGCACAATTGTTACAGCAGTCATGTTTGGGTGATATTGGTTGCATGACTTCATCAAAGAGCTCTAACAGTTTCCCAGTGTGTCCTCTGCTCCTGCTGGATGCACCGATTTCTCCCCAAGGAACTGCTGAAAAACCTTGTTGTACAGTAAAGAACAGTCTTCAATTCTCTTACAGTATATGACAGTCCTTGGGGTCTCAGGCCCATTTACTCCAACTCCGTGAGCAACCATGAAAACGTCTCTACAGGGTCAGACGACACCTTAACTGCCAGTCTGGTGTTGTCCTTGTCAGGACTTTTCACCACCTCAACACATTGCTGCATGCCCAGGTGCTTCATTATGCTCTTCCTTTTAGCCTTGGAAGCTGTAGCTGTGATGGCCAACACAGGAACTGGTAGGAGTGACCGCAGCTCGCCAACCATTCCACACCACTTCTGAAAAGCAGCCTCCTTCCCCTGTGCCTTACCCCTTTATAGGAAATGGGATCCAAACAAGAAGATATGCATTAGTTGTCATAATAAAGGACTAAATAATTCTGGTTCAATGTCAAGTTAAATGTAAAGAGTGGCCTTTGTGTTAATTTAATGGAGTCATTTTAATGTTTTTAAGTGATATATACTATAACACACAGAAACACAACTGATCAAATTAGCAGGTTTCATGCATCAGACACTCGTTTTACAAGTAAAATAATACCAGGGCATATCAAATCATATAAAGGGCAATTAACATGTACACAGAAGGCAATAAAACACATGGCATGCCCCCCACCCCACATAGCTGCAACCACACACCCCTCCCCTTTCCCTCCCTTCTCTCCCCACATAGCTGCAACCCCCCCCTCCCCTCCCCACATAGCTGTACCTCCACCCCCCCCCTCTCCCCCACACTCTCTCCCGATATCTCAGACAGTTTTAGTCAACTTAGACAAAAAGATGCTCAAAACACATTTTAGTTACACACAAATAACTCACCATTGAACCACGGTGTGGACCTCATCGACAGCCATTCCAATGAGACGCTTGCGAAACAATGACGTCTGAAGTAGGCATCACCATTTCTCTGATCCAACAAAAGTTTCAGGAGTCCCGAAGACAATCGTGTATTCAAATCAAATCAAATTTTATTTACCACATGCGCCGAATACAACAGGTGTAGACATTACCGTGAAATGCTTACTTACAGCCCTTAACCAACAATGCATTTATTTTTTAATAAAAAAGTAAAATAAACCAACAAAAAAGTGTTGAGAAAAAAAGAGCAGAAGTAAAATAAAATAACAGTAGGGAGGCTATATACAGGGGGGTACCGGTGCAGAGTCAATGTGCGGGGGCACCGGCCAGTTGAGGTAATATGTACATGTGGGCAGAGCTAAAGTGACCATGCATAAATAACTAACAGAGTAGCAGCAGCGTAAAAAGATGGGGTGGGGGTGGGGGGGCAGTGCAGATAGTCTGGGTAGCCATGATTAGATGTTCAGGAGTCTTATGGCTTGGGGGTAGAAGCTGTTGAGAAGCCTTTTGGACCTAGACTTGGCGCTCCGGTACCGCTTGCCGTGCGGTAGCAGAGAGAACAGTCTATGACTAGGGTGGCTGAGTATTTGACAATTTTGAGGGCCTTCCTCTGACACCGCCTGGTATAGAGGTCCTGGATGGCAGGAAGCTTGGCCCCAGTGATGTACTGGGCCGTACGAACTACCCTCTGTAGTGCCTTGCGGTCGGAGGCCGAGCAGTTGCCATACCAGGCGGTGATGCAACCAGTCAGGATGCTCTCGATGGTGCAGCTGTATAACTTTTTGAGGATCTGAGGACCCATGCCAAATCTTTTCAGTCTCCTGAGGGGGAATAGGCTTTGTTGTGCATTCTTCACGACTGTCTTGGTGTGTTTGGACCATGATAGTTCGTTGGTGATGTGGTCACCAAGGAACTTGAAGCTCTCAACCTGTTCCACTACAGCCCCGTCAATGAGAATGGGGGCGTGCTTCACCCATCGCAATGTTTTCGTCCTCCATCTCACTTTGACCCGCGTATGCCGTGGTGATTCCTTGAGATCAGAACACGAACCTGATCCTCGGTTATTGACATCAGAGGAGGAACTACTATTACCATCGATTTTTCCACTTTCAATAAATCGCAGACTGTCGGACACACTTGATACACTAAACCTTTACCATAGCCGGTACGTAGACACACCAAAACATCTCTGCCTTCATCGACTCGATTTTGTGTATAGAGCACACTTCTGGCAAAACAGAATCACATTTTTCTATTTTCTGCAATGTTGCAAACTAGCTAGCATACGGAACAACTTCCTACAAAATGTGTCCTACCCGGTCATGTGGGGGAGGGTTCTTGAAATGTAACATCCAATCAAAATCTCAGCGGACCATTCAAACTGTTTTTGCAATACAAAATTCTCCAGAACCCCAAGGGAGGTGTGACAATGATGTGATTTTGGAAGTATGGCAACGAGAGACTATAGCCTAGGCTAACTAATTCTAAATGGCACTCCTAGTTAGCAAAGTAGCCTAAGCGGAAAATATACGGGACACAATTATTTCAAAACTGCTGCTCGTTGTTGGAACACATTTTCCTACTTCAATCAACCAGTCCATTTTGAATTTGTGATAAAACTGACGCCATTTGGCAAGTAATGTAGCTTGTGTGTCCCATCGGTTAGATACGTTTTTATAGGCATTTATTTCTGTAGGCCTAAAGGGAGCTTGTGTGCACTCTCAGCACGTGTGTGTAGAAGGAATGGTTGGAACGCAATTGAGTGAAAGAGACAAGGAGGGGAAAGGGAATTTAGGGAGAAGAACTGTATGATGCTTGGCTTGGTTTCTTTTTTGTTGTGCCCCGCAAATGCACAAATGGAACACTAGAGTCAAAGCAAATTAAAGTTGTCTTCAAGACATTTCATGTTTTTAGGGGCGAAAAAATGTCACTTGCCTGTTCGGGCAGCCACAAAGCACATTCCACCAAATAGTTTTACAGTATTTGAAAAAAAAAAAGATTGGTTAAAGATCGAGTTTTAAAGTTCGAGTACTCATGCCCATCCCTAACATAACATACACTGTGTGTCCCCAATTTAAAGCATCCTTTTAAAAAAACTATTATATACAGTATCAGTCAAAGGTTTGGACACACCTACTCATTGTAGAATAATAGTGAAGACATCAAAACTATGAAATAACACATATGGAATCATGTAGTAACCAAAAAAGTGTTAAACAAATCAAAATATACTTTATATTTGAGATTCTTCAGAGTAGCCACCCTTTGCCTTGATGACAGCTATGCACACTCTTGGCATTCTCTCAACCAGCTTCACCTGCACTTAAAGCATCCTTTGATAGAAAACTGAAATATCGCACAAGATATATAAAAAAATAAGTGTTGAAATAAAACAACCCTGCTCACCCAGTGTGGCAGGTAGCAAATCCCCTCATCTGCTACAAACTCCAGGACACCACAGTGTGTCATTCTGTCGGAGTTCTTGTTGGTCAGTTTGAACAACATGGGGTAGGTGATGTTAAGTCTGCCTTTGGGGTAAAGAGTGAAAGGTAAAAATATGTAATCTGTTGGGTATAAAACTCAGGTTCTGAAAAATGGCATTTGTAGATCATCAGAGTTTAAATCTGGATAAAGTAGGAGTATACTTACTTAGTTGGTCAAGTGCAGATGGCGGCATTATAACTACAATGAGAAAACAGCAATATGAGCACTGAAAAACACTTACAGAGCAGGATAAGAAAGAATCAATTGACTGTAACTGCAATCTCTAGTCACTTGTGTACAGGGAACTGGGGCAACGCTTAGGTGTCAAACTCCATTCATTCCTGGTATAGTTATGATATATTTGAATGTATGCAATTTATAGAACTGCCATCACATAGATTAATTACTTTTTCCTCCTTTCTCCACATCAGACCGGTCGTTGGGACCCGCCAGCATGGACACAGAGTAGCAGCGGTATTGAGTGGAGAAGCGGTTTTGGAAAGCCCGTGGGATTGGGTGGTCAAACATGTTGAAGGAAAACTGTTGCAGATATTTTGAAAAACAAAAGGTAGTTAGTTCAGGTAAAAATAAGCTATTTTTAGACATTTGGCCAGCCAACGTTACCCTGATTAATTTCAAATCCTACTTTTTTTATTTCAAACATCATCATCATACCTACTAGCTACCCTACTTCATGTAAAACTAGCTGAGAAGTGACACCATATAACTTTTTTTAGCTGTACGATTCACAAGTAAAGTTGCTGAGCAAGGTAGATATTCATTTTGTCAGAATGATAGTGCATATTTCCTTTGAGTTGAATGGCTAACTAGCTGCTAACTACTTCCTACTACCTAGCTAACAGTTAAAGTAGCTAACTAGTGAATTCCGATACGATGCACTGGTTATGTTATCATTTGTCATAAGCAACAGTCAAAACCAGTGTTGTCGAGTACTTACCATGATGAAAATTAGCACTCCAAACTTTATATATCAAAATGTATAGAATAAAGCTATACTAAATAGCTTATTTCTTCTACGACAAACTGGCTGCTGAAACGCCAATGTTGTCTTCCGCTTAGCCTCGACGACAGCAGGAAGTGACGAATATCCCAAAACAAAGCATGAACACCAATCAGAATCCCAACACCAATATTCTATCCTATGTGATTGGTTCAAAGCGCTGATGCCTACCTGCATGCAATTTCCATTGGTCAGTTTTACAGAAAGCCTCAAAGTGGAGTTTTATTGGCTGTTTAACATTCGGCAGCTGAGGTGCGAATTGGCGCCATAATTCCAACAAGGACATTTTGGGCATACAACGAAAAAGCTCCTGGCTGCATTGAACAATAATAAAGTCCCTGTAAAGTTATTTTATATTTTGCTGTTTTTATACAACCTCACGAAGATATTGTGAAATGTTTATTACGGACATAAGAAAGGAATTCTACGACGTTGTTGTCAACCAGGTAAGAACTTCTGACACTGAATTTAGTTTCCTGCTAACTAACGCGTTATCTAACAGCAGAGACGGGTGAAAATAGGAATACCACCGACTATTTTTCAGTCAACTAACGTTAATTATTCGCCTGCTATTTTTGCAAAATAAAATAAGACGTTAACGCTACTTTTACAAACTTCTGTGACTTTACTATTGATCTGTTCCTCCGTTACTTTTAGAGAGTTGCCCTCCTGGTGTCATCTGATATCGATGCACTCTGCGCCTGTAAGATATTACAGGTAAGTCAAGGGCCCTATCTTTTGCTGTCAAATAAGTTAACTGTTTTAATTCATATGTTTTCTTACTGCCTCTTCCACCCCAATCTACCCAGGCACTGTTTCACTGTGACCAGGTCCAGTACACCTTGGTGCCAGTGACAGGGTGGCAAGACCTTGGTACTGCCTTCCTAGAGCACAAGGAGCAGGTAATGTGAGACCCCTGTCCAGAACTGATAACCCGGGAACTCATCTTATGATGTCTAACATGACTATCAAGACTCCAAACATCCATGAAGGTGTGTGTTATTTGCTCTCATTTCAGTTCCGCTATTTTGTCCTGATCAACTGTGGGGCCAATGTTGATCTCCTGGAGACCCTTCAGCCAGAGGAAGACTCCATCTTCTTCATCTGTGACACACACAGACCTGTGGACGTAGTCAATGTCTACAATGACACCCAGGTGAGCAGTCAGTGTCTGTCCTAAATGACACCCTTTTCCCTACATAGTGCAAAAGTAGCACGCTATATGGGGAATAGGGTGCCATTTTGGACATAGTCAATCAATATTTGTAATTGAGTACACTGGTCCATCACTAGCCCAGCTTCTAGACCAATATTGTATTCTCTCTCTAGCCGTATAAAACTAGCTCACCGTGCGACTTATTTACGACCTTTGTCTGTGCCTGTTTGATACTTTTCCCACGTCGGGGGGTATATCCGTGAGCGGTTCTGATTCGGAATGAGTCACTTGCATCGCCGTGCTATGCCCAGGAAATAATTAAATCCAATTGTTAGATGCTACCGCCCCCCTCCAAATCAAAACCAAATATGGATGTCAGCGTTTGTGCGCACATGCTCCGTTCTACTTCCTATCTGCGTCGGCATGGTGCCCGTATTGCCAGGCTGATTCTCTAGGACAAACAGGTGTGAAACACAGACAGGTGTGCGTGCAAAGCGAGAACACAACATGGAATCCATGTTTGGTTTTGATTTGGAGGTGAGTGGTAGCATCTAACAATTGGATTTAATAGTTTATTGTGCACTGCTCGGTCATGTAAGGGACAACATTTTAAGAAGAACTGTCTACCAACTATGGATATACATTCCGACGTGGAACATGTGCTGCTACAGTCATGTGATCGTGAGTTATCTGGAACGCATTCACTATGCAATACAATTATACCTTCTCTTAAGTTAAATTATTAATAAAGAGGTCTGTTTGGGCTAGTCCTTCACAAGGGGTTGCTTCACTTTGGCAGCAGTTGGGTGACTTCAGAGGAGAAAAGTCCTTCAGGATACTGCCCTTGAGATGATAACGAGCACAGAAGTTGCTGTCCATATGAAGAGCCAGCATCAATCAGTGTTCTAAACTCAATCTCCCACAATTCTCTCCCTAGGTGAAGCTGATGATAAAACAGGATGATGATCTTGGAGTGCCCTCCTACGATGACATCTTCCGCGATGAAGAGGTGGAAGGCGGCGATGACTCTGGGAAATGAAAGTGACGGAGGCTCTGAGCCTTCTGGGAAACGGAGGCGATACGATGAGGTATGCTATGCTGTAGAGCTGGGACGATAAACCGAAAATTATCAACACCGACCACACCGATCACTTACAGTGCCTTGCAAAAGTATTCATCCCCCTTGGTGTTTTTCCTATTTTGTTGCATTACAACCTGTAATTTAAATTGATTTTTATTTGGATTTCATGTAATGGACATATACAAAATTGTCCAAATTGGTGAAGTGAAATGAAAAAAACAACTTGTTTCAAGAAATTCAAAACAATAAATAGAGGAAAAGTGGTGCGTGCATTTGGTTTCACCCCCTTTGCTATGAAGTCCCCTAAATAAGATCTGGTGCAACCAATTACCTTCAGAAGTCACATAATTAGTTAAATAAAGTCCACCTGTGTGCAATCTAAGTGTCACATGATCTGTCACATGATCTCAGAATATATACACCTGTTCTGAAAGGCCCCAGAGTCTGCAACACCACTAAGCAAGGGGCACCACCAAGCAAGCGGCACCATGAAGACCAAGGAGCTCTCCAAACAGGTCAGGGACAAAGTTGTGGAGGAGTACAGTATGAAAAAAAAAATATGTATGCACTCGCTCTAGATAAGAGCGTCTGCTAAATGACTAAAATGTGAAGTACAGATCAGGGTTGGTTTATTAAAAAAAATCAGAAACTTTGAACATCCCACAGAGCACCATTTTTCAATCCATTATTAAAAAATGGAAAGAATATGGCACCACAACAAACCTGCCAAGAGAGGGCCGCCCACCAAAACTCACAGACCAGGCAAGGATGACATTAATCAGAGAGAACAAAGAGACCAAAGATAACCCTGAAGGAGCTGCAAAGCTCCACAGCGGAGATTGGAGTATCTGTCCATAGGACCACTTTAAGCCGCACACTCCACAGAGCTGGGCTTTACGGAAGAGTGGCCAGAAAAAAGCCATTGCTTAAAGAAAAAATAAGCATATGAAAGAAGGTACTTTGGTCAGATGAGACTAAAATTGAGCTTTTTGGCCATCAAGGGAAACGGTATGTCTGGCGCAAACCCAACACCTCTCATCACCCCGAGAACACCATCCCCACAGTGAAGTATGGTGGCGGCAGCATCATGCTGTGGGGATGTTTCTCATCGGCAGGGACTGGGAAACTGGTCAGAATTGAAGGAATGATGGATGGCGCTAAATACAGGGAAATTCTTGAGGGAAACCTGTTTCAGTCTTCCAGAGATTTGAGAGTGGGACGGAGGTTCAGCTTCCAGCAGGACAATGACCCTAAGCATACTGCTAAAGCAACACTTGAGTGGTTTAAGGGGAAACATTTAAATGACTTGGAATGGCCTAGTCAAGGCCCAGACCTCAATCCAATTGAGAATCTGTGGTATGACTTAAAGATTGCTGTACATCAGCGGAACCCATCCAACTTGAAGGAGCTGGAGCAGTTTTGCATTGAAGAATGGGCAAAAATCCCATTGGCTAGATGTGCGAAGCTTATAGAGACATATCCCAAGAGACTTGCAGCTGTAATTGCTGCAAAAGGTGGCTCTACAAAGTACTGACTTTGGGGGGTGAATAGTTATGCACGCTCAAGTTTTTTTTTTTTTTTTTTTTGGTCTTATAAATATTTTGCATCTTCAAAGTGTAAATATTGTTGTGTAAATCAAATTATACAAACCCCAAAAAAATCAATTTTAATTCCAGGTTGTAAGGCAACAAAATAGGAAAAACAACCCAACCGAGCCGCACTGCTTCTTGACACAATGCCCGCTTAACCCGGAAGCCAGCCGCACCAATGTGTCGGAGGAAACACCGTAACAGTGTGCACTGTGCCTGGTCCGCCACAGGAGTCGCTAGTGCGCGATGGGACAAGAACATCCCTGCCGGCCAAACCCTCCCCTAACCTGGACGACGCTGGGCCAATTGTGCGCAACCCCATGGGTCTCCCGGTCGCAGCCGGCTGCGACAGAGCCTGGACTCGAACCAGGATCTCTAGTGGCACAGGATCTCTTAGACCACTGCACCACTCGGGAGGCCCTAATGGGACAATTGTTGACTACAACCATTAAACTAGTAGTAGTTTGAAGGATAATAAATTAATAAAATGGTGCACATTATTGTTATAAACTTATTGTTCTATTTATCGTTATTGCATCAATTAAATCCATATTGCGATAAATTGCCTTATGTCCATATCGACCAGCTCTACTATGCGGTATTGATGTCATCCCACCTCTACTTAAACAACCCTTTTTCTGCTTCTTATTAACGTTTATTTTGCCCAGTGTAATTTTATTTGCATATGACAATGTTGATTTCCACAAAAAGTAGACGAAGCCGATCGAGTTTGCAGTGATGTATTGTTATTTATACCAACATGTTCCCATGTTTTAGGGGGAAGTGGAGAGGAGGATTGAGCGACAGAGAGCGACGAGAGAGTGGGAGGCAAGGAGGTGACGTTTCTCTAGGGTTGTAAAGCCCCCATGCGGTCTTTGACATTTTATTTTTAAATCATCACTGTATGGTTAATAAATCACTGTTTATTTAATGAAAATGACTCCCTGAGTCTCCTTTGGCCCTTGAAATGCTCTGTCTGATCGAGTGGGCGTTAGCAAGCAAATTTGAAGATATTTACATACACAGGCCTGATTGGCTGATAGGATAGTCTAGAGCCCACCGCCCTTACCCAGATGAACAGTCATTGGTCTATTATTATCAGATCACATTGTCATGATGTGGGCCAAAAGTTCCATCCCACCTGAACAGGCTGAAATTCCAGGCATTATTTTCAAACTGCTCGTACACAAAAAGGGCATTATAATTTTCACAATTTCAGTGTTATTTCAACCTCAGTGTGGCCTTTTTGTAATTTTTTTACAGCAGGAAAATAACCGCACTGCCCCTTTTCTTTAAAGGTTTAAACAGTCTTATCACATTGTGACTTTTGAAACGTTTCATTTCAGACGTGAGATCCTGTTTGACTATGAGCAATATGAATACCATGGGACTTCGGTGAGTATGGATTATATATTGATTATGTTGAAACTTGGTACATACATACATACATACATACATACAGTACTAGTCAAAAGTTTGGACACACCTACTCATTCCAGGGGTTTTTCTTTATTTTTACTATTTCCTACACTAGAAAATAGTGAAGACATTTAGTCCCCTGTAGCTCAGTTGGTAGAGCATGGCGCTTGCAGGGTTGTGAGTTCGTTTCCCACGGGGGGGCCAGTATGAAAATGTATGCACTCACTAACTGTAAGTCGCTCTGGATAAGAGCGTCTGCTAAATGACTAAAATGTAAATGTAAAGACATCAATACTATGAAATAACACATATGGAATCATGTAGTAACCAAAAAAGTGTTAAACAAATGAAAATATATTTTATATTTGAGATTCTTCAAATAGCCAAACTTTGCTTTGATGACAGCTTTGCACACGCTTGGCATTCTCTCAACCAGCTTCATGAGGTAATCACCTGGAATGCATTTCAATTAACAGGTGTGCCTTCTTAAAAGTTAATTTGTGGAATTTATTTCCGTCTTAATGCATTTGAGCCAATCAGTTGTGTTGTGACAAGGTATGGGTGGTATACAGAAGATAGCCCTATTTGGTAAAAGACCCAAGTCCATATTATGGCAAGAACAGCTCAAATAAGCAAAGAGAAACAACAGTCTGTCATTACTTCAAGACATGAAGGTCAGTCAATACGAAACATTTCAAGAACTTTTAAAGTTTCTTCAAGTGCAGTCGCAAAAACCATGAAGCGCAATGATGAAACTGGCTCTCATGAGGACTGCCACAGGAATGGAAGACTCAGAGTTACCTCTGCTGCAGAGGATAAATTCATTAGAGAAATTGCAGCCCAAATAAATGCTTCCCAGAGTTCAAGTAACAGACACATCTCAACATCAACTGTTCAGAGGAGACTGTGAATCAGGCCTTCATGGTCGAATTCCTGCAAAGAAACCACTACTAAAGGACACCAATAAGAAGAAGAGACCTGCTTGGGCCAAGAAACACGAGCAATGGACATTAGACCTGTGGAAATGTGTCTTTTGGTCTGGCGTCCAAATTTGAGATTTTTGGTTCAAACCGCCGTGTCTTTGTGAGACGCGGTCTGGGTGAACGGATGATCTCCGCATGTGTATTTCCCACCGTAAAGCATGGACGAGGAGGTGTTATGGTGTGGGGGTGCTTTGCTGATGACACTGTCTGTATTTTATTTCGAATTCAAGGCACACTTAACCAGCATGGCTACCACAGCATTCTGCAGCGATACGCCATCCCATCTGGTTTGGGCTTAGTGGGACTATCATTTGTTTTTCAACAGGACAATGACCCAAAACACACCTCCAGGCTGTGTAAGGGCTATTTTACCAAGAAGGAGAGTGATGGAGTGCTGCATCAGATGACCTGGCCTCCACAATCCCCCGACCTCAACCCAATATGGTTTGGGATGAGTCGGACAGCAGAGTGAAGTAAAAGCAGCCAACAAGTGCTCAGCATATGTGGGAACTCCTTCAAGACTGTTGGAAATGTATTCCAGGTGAAGCTGTTTGAGAGAATACCAAGACTGTGCCAAGCTGTCATCAAGGCAAAGGCTGGCTATCTGAAGAATCTCAAATATAAAATATATTTTGATTTGTTTAACACTTTTTTGGTTACTACATGATTCCATATGTGTTATTTCATAGTGATGTCTTCACTATTATTCAACAATTTAAAAAATAGTAAAGATAAAGAAAAACCCTTGAATGAGCAGGAGACCAAACACCTTAGCCAAATTCATTTAAACTCAGTTGTTCACAATCCCTGACATTTAATCCTAGTAAGAATTCCCTGTCTTAGGTCAGTTTGGATCACCACTTTATTTTAACAATGTGAAATGTCAGAATAATAGTAGAGAGAGATTTATTTCAGCTTTTATGTCTTTCATCACATTCCCAGTGGGTCAGAAGTTTACATACACTCAATTAGTATTTGGTAGCATTGCTTTTACAGTGTTTAACTTGGGTCAAACGTTTCGGGTAGCCTTCTACAAGCTTCCCACAATAAGTTGGGTGCATTTTGGCCCATTCCTCCTGACAGAGCTGGTGTAACTGAGTCAGATTTGTAGGCCTCCTTGCTCACACGCTTTTTCAGTTCTGCCTACACATTTTCTATAGGATTGAGGTCAGGGCTTTGTGATGGCCACTCCAATACCTTGACTTTGTTGTCCTTATGCTATTTTGCCACAACTTTGGAAGTATGCTTGGGGTCATTGTCCATTTGGAAGACCCATTTGCCACCAAGCTTTAACTTCCTGACTGATGTCTTCAGATGTTGCTTCAATATATCCACATTTTCCTTCCTCATGATGCCATCTATTTTGTGAAGTGCACCAGTCCCTTCTGCAGCAAAGCACCCCCACAGCATGATGCTGCCACCCCCGTGCTTCACGCTTGGGATGGTGTTCTTCGGCTTGCAAGTCCCCCCTTTTTCCTCCAAACATAACGATGGTCATTATGGCCAAACAGTCCTATTTCTGTTTCAACAGACCAGAGTACATTTCTCCAAAAAGTACGATCTTTGTCCCCATGTGCAGTTGCAAACCGTAGTCTGGCTTTTTTATGGCGGTTTTGGAGCAGTGGCTTCTTCCTTGCTAGCAGCCTTTCAGGTTATGTCGATATAGGACTCGTCTTACTGTGGATATAGATACTTTTGTACCTGTTTCCTCTAGCATCTTCACAGTGAGGAATCAGCCCAGAACTACACGGGAGGATCTTGTCAATGATCTCAAGGCAGCTGAGACCATAGTCACCAAGAAAACAATTGGTAACACACTACACCGTGAAGGACTGAAATCCTGCAGCGCCCGCAAGGTCCCCCTTCTCAAGAAAGCACAAATACAGGGCCGACTGAAGTTAGCCAATGAACATCTGAATGATTCAGAGGAGAAGTGTTGTGGTCAGATGAGACCAAAATCTAGCTATTTTGCATCAACTCAACTCGCCGTGTTTGGAGGAGGAGGAATGCTGCCTATGACCCCAAGAACACCATCCCCACCGACAAACATGGAGGTGGAAACATTATGCTTTGGGGGTGTTTTTCTGCTAAGGGGACAGGACAACTTCACCGCATCAAAGGGACGATGGACGGGGCCATGTACCGTCAATCTTGGGTGAGAACCTCCTTCCGTCAGCCAGGGCATTGAAAATGGGTCGTGGATGGGTATTCCAGCATGACAATGATCCAAAACACACGGCCAAGGCAACAAAGGAGTGGCTCAAGAAGAAGCACATTAAGGTCCTGGAGTGGCCTAGCCAGTCTCCAGACCTTGATCCCATAGAAAATCTGTGGAAGGAGCTGAAGGTTCGAGTTGCCAAACGTCAGCCTTGAAACCTTAATGACTTTGAGAAGATCTGCAAAGAGGAGTGGGATAAAATCCATCCTGAGATGTGTGTAAACCTGGTGGCCAACTATAAGAAACGTCTGACCTCTGTGATTGCCAACAAGGGTTTTGCCACCAAGTACTAAGTCATGTTTTGCAGAGGGGTCAAATACTTATTTCCCTCATTAAAATGCAAATCAATTTATAACATTTTTGACATGTGTTTTTCTGGATTTTTTTGTTTTTATTCTGTCTCTCACTGTTCAAATAAACCTAACATTAAAATGATAGACTGATCATGTCTTTGTCAGTGGGCAAACGTACAAAATCAGCAGGGGATCAAATACTTTTTTTCCCCTCACTGTACATACATACACACATATATATATATATATATATATATATATATATATATATATATATATATATATATATATATATATATATATATATATATATATACTAAAATTGTCATGACATTTTTACCATCATTTACCAGGCTGCAATGGTGATATTTGACCTGGCTTGGGTGCTGACTAAGGACACTAAAGATATGCTGTGGTAAGTTATATGATCAAGGTTTTTTGTAAAATTATATCAATATAATTATTTATTTGCATGAGCAGACTATGGCACTACAATTATGTTAACCGTTTAATGTTGGACAGGTGGGCCATCATTGGGCTGACTGACCAGTGGGTTCATGATAAAATCACTCAGTAAGAATATTTATCTCCAACTCTCTTCTATGACACTTCCAATCTGATGCAACATCTAGGATGCCTAGGAAGTTTTTGAAAAATCCAAAGCTGGGTTGTGTTACACTAACACTAACCTCCTTGTATTGTTCCTGTGCCTCCCAGTATGAAGTATGTAACAGACATCGCTACTCTGCAGCGCCACGTCTCACGTCACAACCACCGGAACGAGGATGAGGAGAATTCTCTCTCCATCGACTGCATGAGGATCTCCTTTGAGTACGAGTATCCTTTACCTTCACTGGCCAAAGGACCAGGGGAGCTCAGACATGTGCATGACAACTAGTTGAGGCCTGATTTTCTGAGACCTTTGGTTCAGCTATTTTGTTGCTGTGGTATTTTCTAGGGCTGTGACGATACCAGTATCGTTAGTATCGTGGCAAGGAAAGAAAACACGAAGCGGATTTAACTTCTTTAGGATAACATCCCTAATGTTGGAAACAAACATCATTATGTTGTCATCCGAGTCACATTTTATTTATTTTCCAAGGTATAGCACACACTATTTTACGTGCTGCAGGTTTTTGCCATGGTTTTGCCACGATACTAGCGAGTATCGCAATACTGGTATCGTCCCGCCCCTAGTTTTTAATTTAGGTCAGAAGTGTTTTAGTGTTATTAGTAAGCTTTGCCACATTCTTGTGGCTGTATATGCTGTCCTGCCTGTCACCCGCTCATCCCTCTACTCTCTGTCATACCTTTCTCTGTGTGTTAACCCCTTGACGCCCTGTCTCAGTCTGCGTCTGGCCCTGTACCAGCACTGGTCTCTGTTTGAGAGTATCTGTAACTCCTCTTACACTTCCTGCAACTTCAAGCTCTGGTCCATGCATGGCCAGAAGAAACTCCAGGAGTTCCTCGCTGACATGGGGTATACTATCCCCAAGTTATGGCTGTCAATTAGAATAGGATCTCCATCAAATGATCTCGCATTCTTGAATACAAATTACGAATCAATCAGTTACTGTAAATTACAATTAGTCAGTAGCCTCTGAAGGACAAATGTCACTTCATCAAAAGTGATGGACAGCAGTTTGTCATTTGATTTGATGATAATGGATTGTTTGAAGGCATCATCAAAGATGGTTTCTGTTTGTGTTGTCCAGCCTGCCCCTGAAGCAGGTGAAGCAGAAGTTCAACTCCATGGACATGTCAGTCAAAGAAAACCTGCGAGAAGTCATAGAAGAATCCTCCAACAAATACGGGTAAGAGTGTTTGTGTATTCTAGTGCATCAATATATCTGTTAATAATCCCCATTATTAATCACTGTGGGTTCCTCCATCTGACTCTGTATATGATTAATAAAATATGCCCCTCTCCTAATATGCCCAATAGACTCTTGGCGGCAGTAAGAAAGCCATCGCCATCTGCGCCCATTCAACATAGCCTAGATTCACATTTTTATTACTTCTAAATAAAATATTTTTTTGGGGTCCTCATACGCGTACAATGATCTTTTTAGGTTCTTGCTTGAACAGTCGCTAAGATTATATTTGGTTGTGATCTTTGCAAAATAACTATTTTTGATGCAGCAGTTATTAGCTAGAATGCTAATGCTCATTGATTTATGTTGTAGCAAAAGCTAGCCAAAGAGGCATTTTACTGGTTGAAGTAAAAAAAAATTATAATGCAGTTGATTTATGATGATAACATTATATTAAGCAGGACATTCATACGAGCCTTAAAATCCAATTATAATCCAAAAGTAGTGTGAAATGCATTCATAATTAACATGTAAATAGAGGCTTTTGCTGGCGTTCTATAAGAACTCCCCCTTGTTCTGCCACTAACTTGCGCACATCGCCCTCGTGCAGCAATGTTTGTAAACACAGAAAGGGGTCTATAGCCCTAATTTAATGCTGTTTTCTCTGTCCCTTCAGTATGAAGGACATCCGTATCCAGACTTTCGGCGTTCACTTTGGCTTTAAGAACCGTTTCCTGGCCAGTGATGTGGTGCACGCTGCTTCCGCCCTGCTGGAGAACACTGAGAAGGACGAGAGCCCCGGCGACAACTTCATCAAGGCCCTCGACTGCCTCTCCAGGTACATGCACGTACATGCGCACACACACTCTCCATAAGAAAAGCCTTTGACTGCCTGTCATGGTGGAGGAGGAGTACTGCACAATCCCAGAAAGCTGGGGGGTTCTTTTATTCCTTGTTGAGATCATGATACAATGTATAATTATTAACAGAGAGCACAGAAAGTATTGGGACCTCACGGTGCTCTCCCCATGTGTGTATTCACTAGGAACCAAACAGGATCAAACATGAGAGGGACTAGGGTTGGGCGATATTACGATAGTATCGTCTATCGATGACGATTGACGACCTCGTGATGAGACAGACGATGGTTTAGCCTATTTGAACTTGACTAGCGCCGCGCATCAGGCCTAAAGAACGAGTGTCGGACAGTGCAGCACACGAGTGACATTCCGAGTAATCTGCCTATTCCTGTTTGCTATAGCCTATTTCAATAAATAGCCTATGTTGTATAGGGCAGCAGAACACAAGAGAGGAATGTAGGTTAGACAGAATTCCACCAAAGCAGCACAACATGTCCAGTCAGAAAATATAGTTTTTCGATCTGTCGGATGCACGGACCTTATAGCTTAAACTTGTCTAGCTGTTTAAAGAAAAACGTAGGCTATATTCCCTTGTCTCTCCATTCAATATGACTCTGGGCAAGGCCAGGGGTTCTCAAACTTTTTTGGGCCGGGGACCACTTTTGTGATAGCAAATTCATCAGGGACCCCCTAATTTTTCATAATTGATTCGATTTATATAGCGCTTTTCTACCAACCTGAAGTACTCAAAGTGCTTTACTTGGTAGGGGGGAATCTCACCTCATCCACCACTAATGTGCGGCACCCACCTGGGAATGAGGGGGATGATTAGGTGGCCATGATGGAATGAGGCCAGGTTGGGAATTTAGCCATGACACCGGGGTTAACACCCCTACTCTTACGATAAGTGCCATGGGATTTTTTATGGCCACAGAGAGTCAGAACACCCGTTTTAACGTCCCATCTTAAAGACTGCATCCTACGCAGGGCAATGTCCCCTTCACTGCCCTGGGGCATTGGAATCGCCTTAGACCGAAGGGAAGAGTGCCCTCTACTGGCTCCTCCACCACTTCCAGCAGCATCTGGTCTCCCATCCATTATGAGTACATAATCATGATAAGACAAAGGTTGACATCGCCCAACCCTAAGAGGGACCTATTTGAATTTGTCCAATAGAAACACATTTAGTTGCAGAACTTTTTCTGTTGCAACACGTTTTGCTAAGGTGTGCACTAATGAATACACCCCAGGTGATGGAACGATCCCACCCTGTTTTCTCTCCACTCTGTAGGAGTAACCTGGAGCGTCTCCATGGTGGCATTGACCTGGCTAAGAAGAAGCTGATGGCCATCCAACAGACTGTAGCCAGCTGCATCTGCACCAACCTCATACTGTCACAGGGACCCTTCCTCTACTGCTACCTCTTGGAGGTGTGTGTGTTAGTGTTGTACGGTATACCGGTACTCACTGTAATATCACGGTACCAAAATGTCATGATACTTATGATGCCAACATTTTAGAATACCGTAGTACCACTTCATATGATATTACCAAGTGTTTTGGCCCTACCGTTTAAGAACCCGATGGCACCTGTTATAAAATGTTTATAAATTCTGTAAAACAATTAAATAAGCAACAGCAACTAGGCTCTTGTATGCGCTGGTCCAATAATGTCCACTTCACTTTCATTTGCATATCATGTGGCAGCAGTAATCAGCCAGCCGTATCCCCTCCAGCCATCACTCACCTGTTTCTCTCCGTACGCTCTTCCTGCGCATCTAATCCACCATCAGTTTTTTAAAATATAATTTATGTGATGACAAGGGGAATGCAGTCCTGAATGTTTTTTATGTTTACATTGGAGCAGCGCCTAATGTAAGCCTAATCTATCAAAAATCTATTTCTGGTCCTTACATTCTGTTTGGTGCCTAACGTTGTTAATGTTGGGAGCAATGTGTTTGTTGGAGAGAGAGTGGTGTGTGTTTGAGGGAGAGAGAGTTGGTGTGTGTTTGAGGGGAGAGAGAGTGGTGTGTGTTTGAGGGAGAGAGAGGGTGTGTGTTTGAGGGAGAGAGTGTGGGGTGTGTGTTTGAGGGAGAGAGAGGGTGTGTGTGTTTGAGGGAGAGAGAGTGGTGTGTGTTTGAGGGAGAGAGAGTGTGTGTGGTTTGAGGGGAGAGAGTGGTGTGTGGTTTGAGGGGAGCGAGTGGTGTGTTTGAGGAGAGAGAGTGGTGTGTTTTGAGGGAGAGAGGTGTGTGTGTTTGGGGGGTGTGTGTTGGGGAGCGGCGTGTGTGTGTTTGCGGAGGTGTGAGGCGAGGTGTGTGTGTCGTGTGTGGGGGGCGGGAGAGGTGTGTGTGTTTGTGTGTTGTTGCGGAGCGAGGGTGTGTGTGTTGTTTGAGGGAGCGCGAGTGTGTGTGTGTTTGAGGGGCGAGAGCGTGTGTGTGTTGGTTTGGGATGAGGGCGAGGTGTGTGTGTGTGTTGAGGGAGCGCGAGGGGTGTGTGTTTAGGGGAGAGAGTGGTGTGTGTTTGGGGGAGAGAGTGTGTGTTTGAGGGAGAGAGAGTGTGTGTGTGTGTGTGTGTGTGTGTTAACTGAAGAGTAAAGGTTTCATACAGTGTTTTCCCCTTACTGCCATAATGACATGCAGATTATTATGCATGTCTATTCCTTCCTCCCATTCCTCCAGCCAAATCACAGGTAGGCTTTTGCAAATATTAGCAAATTAGCCATTCTATACAGTATTCTATTATACAGTGTGAAGTTAAATGTTGTATTGAGTAGAAATGTGAATATCAGTGACAGGTTTTTTGTGTAGCACATGCACATAACATTTAGAAAACAGGAACAAGTGTTGTGGGACGGGGTGAACCGGACACTAGCCTCTCTGAATTGGCCTGGTATCGTGATATTTGGCCTGGTATCGTATCATTTGTAAAATGTTGGTATTGTGACAACACTAGTGTGTGGTATGTCCTCCCTATAACCCTCCATCTCTGTGCAGGGAACTCCTGATGTGAAGCTGTTCTCCAAGCCCATGGCCTTGACTCTGCTCTGCAAGTACCTGCTCAAAGCCTTTGTACGCTCTGTGAGTACCTCACTATTTCACTTACCCATTATCCAAGGCCCTGTCTAGCTCTATTGCCCCTGGTCTTCAATTAGTTTCAAACAAAAATGAGTGTTTAGATGTTCGTTTATGGTCTTTTGCATCTCTCTTGCTTATGTCTACCTATGCCTGTTCGTAGACGAGGAATAAGCGCTGTAAGCTGCTGCCCTTGATCATAGCTGCTCCCATGGATGTGGAGAAGGGAACTGTCATCGTTCTGGGCATCCCACCTGAGTCTGAGACATCCGACAAGAAGAAGTGAGTTCATAACGTGTCTGTGTGCAAGCACTTGAATGTTCTTTGTGTTTTGGGGAAAAACTAAAACTCATGCTAATTTTAATCTTCCTTTTGTTCTCGCTCTCTCTCCCTCTTATTTCTTTGTCTCTCCCTCTCCAATAGTTTCTTTGGCCGTGCATTTGAGAAGGCAGCAGAGAGCACCAGCTCCAGAACTCTCCACGACCACTTCGACACCTCTAGTAAGTAAAATATTATTGTAATTGTATATGTTGGCCACAAGAGGGCAGACATGACACAGTACAGATGGACCCTGTTAGCAGTACAGTGGTTTCGTACACACGTTTCAATACTTTATTTGGATCTCATACAGGTGCTTTCTCAAGTCATTGTTACAGCTTTAATCATTACATCATCAGCAGGTGTTCCAAAAAAAAATCCCTCTCACCTGCTAACCATAACAGCTATTATTTATATATTATATGTATTATTTATTATTATTATATTATTATTATAACAGCTCAAATTGAGCAATACACACACACTCACACACTCATCCTTACCTGTGTTTTGCATTTGCAGTCATTGAGCTAAAGATGGAGGACAGGACTAAGTTTCTGGATGCCCTCATCACCCTGTTGTCCTAAGGAGTGGGCTAACTAAGACACACTGATGTTTGGGTAAAGGTCCTGAAATGTGAAATGTAGATGCTGGAAGAGACTGTATGACATTAGAACTAGGTTCATGCCCAATGTGATGGAGAATCTATATTTTGTGGTTTACCTCTTTTGGTCAATGAAGAGTATTTTCCAATGTTGTCTTTTCAGCCCAGGACACTTTGTGATGCCTATATGTATATTGTACAGTTTTTAAAATGTTTTTTGTAAATGTATTGTTTGAGGGTTTTGGTGTTTTTAATCTCATATACATTTATTTTTCTGTTGTCTTCGTTTCATGTAACACATTTATTAAATGATATTTTATTGACGTATAATTATTGAAGTTACCATCTACTAAGAGAAGGAAGGATACATTTGAAACATCGGTAGGAATAAGGGTGTGTAATGACATTGAACTTTGGCACAGAATGTCATATGGACCATAGAAACCGTATGATGGCTTAACTATCTCCCCTAGTATACAAATCTGGAGCATAGGTTAACACACAGACCTTGGCCCGTATATAAATACACTTTCATGGATGGATGGGTGGGATCCATTCCTTTCCCTGGGCTAATTGAGCCGCTTATCTCTCAAATCATTATGAGGTCATGACCCACAGAGCAGATGGTTCTGGGGGTTTCACAGGAAAGGCTGTTCTGCTCGCCACGGTGAAAGCGAAACGTGCCAGAAGGAGCATCGCACTGACTGAGCTAGGGGGGGAAAGGGATCCTCACCATAGCAGATGTGCTGTGTATGTCATGTTATTTTATTGCCTTGAGCACAAATGTGGATGTGTAACAATGAATTCCTGCTGATTGAATGTTTGTATGCACATGGTCACGTCATGTATGTTATCATTTACTAACTGGAAAATAGTCCGATTTAATTTGCTATTAAGATAAAGCTCATACTGTTAACTGGACTGGTGAGAGAGACCTTATGATGTATAGTTCTAATGTTTACTATTTAATGTCCTCTAAACACACACACAACATACCCCACCAATTACTGGGTGGGTCCCGGTTTATTTTCTAGTGATGTTATTAACTAAAGTGAGCTGACGGAGCCAAATGATTATCTCCTAAACTCCTAAGTAAAGTAAACAATCTTTCTCTAGTTTGTAAGAATTAGAACTTGGCCACTGGGATTTTGAACTTTGCAGCCGTAACATCCCTGGTCAGGGTTTGGTTACGCTATTCCACTATTGTCGTGGAAATTCTAATCAATAATGAGGAGAGACGAGGTCAATCAGGATTTTACTTTTGTCAAAACTTATAAGGCAACCGGTCACACCACCCACACGTGAATGGAGTGAGTGCTCTGCAATATTGAGGCTGGTCGACCCAACACTCTTGAGTGTTGGGCCGAGAGCTCTGACAAACAGAGATAAACAGACGTCTCATATAGTGGACCTAAAAATGCTTAGTCATGGCTGGTTCCACCCCTCCACATAAACTCTGAAGAAAACAAGCTACCTTGTGTTCTTCTCGTGGCTGTGTGTTTCGGTTCATAGCGCACAAACAAGTGATAACGCCAGTTCCGTTACTCCTCTCTGTTCAAGCCAGCCTCTGTTCACCTCTATCTCCCCACAGCTGTGCCCTTGGAAGATAGTAAAAGAACTGGATGGGCTGAAGAACTGTGGTCACTCTCAGAGGCTCTTTGTCTTATGCCTTGTGACCAGGTTACTCAGAAGCAAAGAGAAATTGAAACAATACAGGTCCATCTGTTCCTCAAGTTTATCTCCATCCCATGTCCTTGACTACACGCCTAGACCAGCTGCGGGGAGTGAACGTGGAAGAGATTAACCATCCTTTCTCAGAAGCACAGCATTGGCACTAAAGAAATGTCTTTACTATTGCTAAGTATATTCATTGTTAACTACAGTGAGGGAAAAAAGTATTTGATCCCCTGCTGATTTTGTACGTTTGCACACTGACAAAGACCTGATCAGTCTATAATTTTAATGGTAGGTTTATTTGAACAGTGAGAGACAGAATAACAACAAACAAAATCCAGAAAGACGCATGTCAAAAATGTCATAAATTGATTTGCATTTTAATGAGGGAAATAAGTATTTGACCCCTCTGCAAAACATGATTTAGTACTTGGTGGCAAAACCCTTGTTGGCAATCACAGAGGTCAGACGTTTCTTGTAGTTGGCCACCAGGTTTGCACACATCTCAGGAGGGATTTTGTTCCACTCCTCTTTGCAGATCTTCTCCAAGTCATTAAGGTTTTGAGGCTGACGTTTGGCAACTCGAACCTTCAGCTCCCTCCACAGATTTTCTATGGGATTAAGTTCTGGAGACTGGCTAGGCCACTCCAGGACCTTAATGTGCTTCTTCTTGAGCCACTCCTTTGTTGCCTTGGCCGTTTGTTTTGGGTCATTGTCATGCTGGAACACCCATCCACGACCTATTTTCAATGCCCTGGCTGAGGGAAGGAGGTTCTCACCCAAGATTTTACAGTACATGGCCCCGTCCATCGTCCCTTTGATGCAGTGAAGTTGTCCTGTCCCCTTAGCAGAAAAACACCCCCAAAGCATAATGTTTCCCCCTCCATGTTTGACGGTGGGGATGGTGTTCTTGGGGTCATAGGCAGCATTCCTCCTCCAAACACGACGAGTTGAGTTGATGCCAAAGAGCTCGATTTTGGTCTCATCTGACCACCACACTTTCACCCAGTTCTCCTCTGAATCATTCAGATGTTCATTGGCAAACTTCAGACGGCCCTGTATATGTGCTTTCTTGAGCAGGGGGACCTTGCGGGCGCTGCAGGATTTCAGTCCTTCACGGCATAGTGTGTTACCAATGTTTTTCTTGGTGACTATGGTCCCAGCTGCTTTGAGATCATTGACAAGATCCTCCCGTGTAGTTCTGGGCTCATTCCTCACCGTTCTCATGATCATTGCAACTCCACGAGGTGAGATCTTGCATGGAGCCCCAGGCCGAGGGAGATTGACAGTTCTTTTGTGTTTCTTCCATTTGCGAATAATCGCACCAACTGTTGTCACCTTCTCACCAAGCTGCTTGGCGATGTTCTTGTAGCCCATTCCAGCCTTGTGTAGGTCTACAATCTTGTCCCTGACATCCTTGGAGAGCTCTTTGGTCTTGGCCATGGTGGAGAGTTTGGAATCTGATTGATTGATTGCTTCTGTGGATAGGTGTCTTTTATACAGGTAACAAACTGAGATTAGGAGCACTCCCTTTAAGAGTGTGCTCCTAATCTCAGCTCGTTACCTGTATAAAAGACACCTGTGAGCCAGAAATCTTTCTGATTGAGAGGGGGTCAAATACTTATTTCCCTCATTAAAATGCAAATCAATGTATAACATTTTTGACATGCGTTTTTCTGGATTTTTTTGTTGTTATTCTGTCTCTCACTGTTCAAAAAAACCTACCATTACAATTATAGACGGATCATTTTTTTGTCAGTGGGCAAACGTACAAAATCAGCAGGGGATCAAATACTTTTTTCCCCTCACTGTATTAATATTAAACAAATCAGGTAAATACGTGATTTTTCTCTCACACTGTTCCTTTACATTGTGAACTTATTCCTTATCAAGGAATGTTCTGGCATCTGAGGTTGTCCTGTCTGCCATTTTCACCAAAAGGCAGCATGTTTGTGCCCCATCTCAACCCCCAATATCACCCTTTTACCCTCACAGCCTCACCCCTAGTACCCCCACCCTCTACCCCAACCATACAGAGGTCACATCTTTCAGATGCCAGTGAATTCCAGTCAATTATGGTGTCTGTCCCCCCGCTGGCTTTTCTCTCAACCAAACCACTTCACCCCTCAAACCCCACCCTATTCCTCGGTCCCCTCTTCCACCCTTCCAACCCCCAGTGGTGGGGGGCCTCTGGCCTTTCTGCTGCTCTGCCCCGGAGGAATGCAACACTACCCCCTGGTCATGTCACCACTACACGAATACACACACATACACACGTGTGGCAGGAGAGGGGTAGCGTGTGAGACAGAGGATATTAGAGGGCCTCACAGTCACACACTCATGTTGCCTTTACTCCTTGGAGTTAAGCTACTTTGTTCACAGAAGGAGCCCAGTGACTACTTTACCCAAGAGCACTGTGTCAATATAAGTATATCTCTTTATCTCTATCTATTCGTACAGTACTGGATATTTGTTAATTAGTTAGAAAGATTTAGAGATTTGAAAGTTCTAGGGAAAACATTTTCCAACTTTCTTAATTTTACTTTCAAACAAATCCACTTTCAGAGTGAAGGAAATTAGTTGTGATCTCTTCTGCAGGTTACTCTAATTAAAAATGGGGTCAATAAACTTACAGTGGCTGTGAAGCATTCAGGCACATACATATAGCATGTCTCAATGACTTCTCGCACAGTAACCCTCTTTCTATCTAAAGCCTTTTCATTTGTTTTCTTCCTCCCTTTCTTCCTCTCCCTAACAATCCCAGATTCCTGATAGGATTAGCCAGACTGGACGACCGGGAACAAAAGCCCACAGCTGACTCCCACTGCCTGACGCCTGTCTCACAGAGACGCTGCTGAGGAGAGTGAGTGGGCTACACACAGTCATGGATTCACTGTGCCATCATCAGTAGCTCCCCAAAGCATCAGCTGGGGTCTAAAGATGCCCCTCCCACTGTGACCTTTAACCCAAGTGACCACTAACCTCTGTGACCTCTCACAGTTGTAGGGTCAGCCCATAGAATTAGAAATTAGAATACTAGGATCTCTATGGGTCAACCTCTGAAGCTGGCATCACTGTGTTCTTTCTAAAAGCACTCTTGAAAAAAATTTGAGTAGAAATGTTGATGTGCATTTATCTTATTTTTTCAATGGTAGTGTAGCAATGAACATGACTACAGTGTATGCATGTATTCTTTCCTGCCTTAAAATATAGATACCATCGAACTGCAGACCACGTTGAGAACAAAGGACCTGCCGCTACTTTCTGAACGTCTAACCACATACCCACCGAATGCGAAGACACACACTCACACACGCAGCATGGAGAGGCCAGTGTCTCAGATGAGTGGGCAGCCTCACGGATGGCCAGACCTGGGGCAAATTAAAGCTTTTCATGAGAAGGGACTCGCACTGCACTTCCTTTAAACCTCACAGAGAGGGAAGGGCGTTTTCTTACACTACCCTAGTTTCCCTGGACACCAGAGAGACAGAGGGTGTCCAGCCCTGAGGGTCTGAATCATGCTGTTTGTGCTACTTAGTACAAAGATAAACTTTGAGAATGGAAGAATATACTCACACACTCATAAGAATTAGATAAACTAGTTTGTTGTTATTTTTCACAAGCTGTTCTGTTGTGAGCATCAATCAACAGAGCAAATCCACAGCAGTGCCTGGAATAGCAACACTTGAGTTTCCTGCAAGACGCAATTAGTGTCAAAACAATGCTCTCCTCAGGATCCTGTGTGTGTGTTGTAACTTCTTTGTTTATTTACTCTTGTACTGACTGATTGCCATTTCCTATTTAAATATGTGGGCCAACAGGCACAGCTGATTCTAAAACCAGCCTCATCCATTAATTACAAAGACCTTGGGTTGACTAGACAGGGTGGATAGAGAACCCCTGGCATGGCACACACTCACACCTTAGGGGTTAGGGGCATCTTTTCTTAGGACACTCACTGTTTCTCCAAATTATGGGTTGTAGGTAATTCTTGGGTTATGGTTTGGTTTATTTGGTTGTTCAATACAATCCCCCCTTAGCTGAAAAGTTAAGACAGGCATACAAGCAGAGAGAGACTGACAACAGTGTTTTCACTGAGCCACGATACCCATGATAAATCAGAAATGT